AAGGACACCAGTTCGGAAGACAGAGGATTTGACAGTGCTGGAGGTGACGGAAGTGTTGTACGTTTCGCCTCCGGGTTTGAGATCAACTTCGAGGAGGATGCGGCACTGAGAGAAACAGAGGTCTGGAGGAATCCATGTCCCCGGAAGGCAACAGGAAGAGAGATTCATCGAACCTTCCGGAGGCAGCTTTAAATCCGCCACATGGAATTCAAAGAGGTTGCGAACCTTGGGATTCTGCAGGGTTGAAAATGCAGCGTTCTGATTGGTCGACTGACCAATGGCTGGGACACAGAACTCCTTAAGCTTCTTTCAAGGTCATTCCTTGGACCTGAGTTACATTATGACTTCGTACTGCATACTTGACGGTCTTTAAGGGCAATTTTAACATTTTTTTCTAGCAGAAATGTGTGGATAGCAACAAGGCGTGACACTGCAAATGGAAATTCTAAAAATAATTGAGGATTTCCCGATTTCTCAACTCCTCTTCCAACTGACGCGAAAATATTGCCAGCACTGGAGACAACCATTGAGTCCACTTGCTAATGCTAATGTTCCATCTTCAGCTGCAGCTTAGCATTGTGTTTTTAAAGGCTGAGTTTGCAACAAGTTTTTCTGCAAATATATAACTTATTTACCGTCATATTTTTTGCTCCCCATCACTTAATTGTTCGTGAACAATGTAAAAAGTGTCAAGTTCATCTTTCGGGTATGGTTGGAAATAAATTGGACCCTCGCTTCACTCCTGCGATGACAATTTGAAGTCTTATGATTCAAATGTGTGAGCACATGACTCTTTCGGTGCTGAGGCGAAAAATATATCCTCCTTTGCCTTTCTTTTGTTTGAGGATGGGACAAACCTGGCAAACAAGGTGAGTTGAGAACAAAGGAGCACATCTCAAGCATTAGCCTTATACTCATCATAGTCACCGAGTTTGTTGCCACCTTCTCGAGGCAGGCTGAGGTAAAGGAAAATGGGATTACCTCCAGGCTATGTGGAAGAAAAAAATTGCAATGATCATTTCGTGGAAGTTATCGGGGATTTGATGTCTCAACATCATCCGGCAGGACTGGCCTAGCTGTGCATGGATGAGCGAATAAACGAACTACTCGATTAAGGAAAAATGAAAGGGGAAGCCTTTGGTGTAGCATTCACATTCCCTTAAGAACGTCATGCCCAAAGTAGGGAACAGTGGATCAACTCCACTCCGCCTCCTTTCCGTTAAATAACCTTTTATTTCCGATTTTTTCGTGAAAGCACACCCCATATACAAAGACCAGTGTCACAAAATAGTTCCACTGCCAAAGCGTGGTCATTTTTGCTCCTTCTGAACCAGTTGCGTCGGCATTGACGGCGGTGGCTATGGTCAGTGGGCAGGAGTGACGCAAGCCACATCAATCCACAAGTACCAATGCGCGGCCACATTAGCTCGAAAGGAGGGAGAGAGAGAGAGAGAGAGAGAGAGAGAAGGAAGGGGGTCGTGTAGTCGTCGTCAGTCAGGCGAAGTGAACACCTAACAGACTTTCGATACACACAGCACACTCTGGAAGCCTCTTTTAAGCCACCGACGTTTTGTCAATCCGGATACACACACACACACAGAGACTTGTGATTTTGTGTGGTGCGTATAATCATTGCCACATTTTGCTACATTTCGCACTTCGGAGGTTTGTGTTCAATTTTGTGCACAAGGCCGAGGAAACCTAAAATTTTACCACTCGTGGCGAAGGAAAGTCGAACTAATCTGCCATTGACACAACAAGGGACGTCTACTACCACAATGAGTTGGTGCGAGATGCATGCCAGGAAAAGGAATAAATTTGACACCACACATTTTGTCTACTAAAGTTTTATCTTTTGAGGTCATCACAGCCTATGGAAATAAATGAACCAGCATGCAATAAATTCTTCCCTCGGTCCCTCCTCCCCACACAATGTGAGGGCATGATATTCGGTCTGAGGGGAAGAGTGTCCTCCATCCATCCATGCGAGGGTTAAAACACTGGGGATTGGGGCCCAAAACGTTGGAGGGTGGCAAATGGCCAAACCACTCTCACGACGCGGCAGGGAGCGATGGGAAGGTTTACCGTCTCTCAGACATTCCTACCGAGTCTTGTTCACAATGCCTACGAACCACAGCAACATTTTGTGACAGAGAAATTAATTTATTTAAGAAAAATTACTCTGTTTGGTAAGTAGTCGGATGTTATTTCTAAAAAAAATATTAATTAAAAAACCGCTTGGGTGCGTGGGAGCTGGAATGGCATTGATGGGAATTGGAATTGTCATAACTTTCTTAATGTACTTTTTAAAGAAGTTTGACCTGTTATTTTAATAAGTTTACTTCTCAAAAGGCAAAATGTTTATAGCATTTGAAGTTGACAGTGGCAACAGAAATGATGTATTGCAGGTCAGGAATCAGCCAATAGGAGACGAAGCGACTTCGTAACAGGTCAAGGAAGCATTGCCTGGTAATTTTCTGACTTGGTATAATCAAAAAACAAGGTGACTACAAGTTCAACAACTTTGGCACTTTGCAGGCCTCTATTTTTGGCAAGGAGGATTGTCTGATGAACTCTACAGCACTTCAAGTTGAGAAGGCTTCCAATAGCTCTACCCCCCCCTCCCCCCAGTGTTGTAGCCATTTGGTGAAAACTTTTTTCTTGAAGTTCATCTCCACCTCGGTTAGGAAGAGTGTCAGTGTAGAGAATAAAATTGTTACTTTTAAAGTGGGTTTGGGAACGGTCTGGGGCCGATGTTATTTGTCAACTCATAAATGTTACTTTCATTGCTCTCCTCAAGCGCACAAAATTTTATCTTAAAATAAAAAAAAAAACAAATAAGCAAAGGCTTGGTTTGTGAGGGTGGGTGTGTGTGAGAGGTGCCTTAAATTGGCGTGTCTGTTCTCAAAGACAATCTGACTGTTTCATTTGATCAGATTGCCAGTTGCGGTACAATTATGGACTATTTAAAAAAAACTTGCTTTCGTCAGAGAGTGTGGAACATTTAGATTATGGAACATTTCCATGTCGAAGGCCTCTCCTGAACCTTGACCCATGATGCTGGAACGAGGAGAAAAATTTTGTGCAGGCAACTCGACTTTAAAAGTCGTTGTAGGCTGTTGCCATGGTAACCAGAGTCCATGATAAGGCCAAACAGCAGTCTTGACACTTTATTCACTCCATTTATAGCAAAAAATTTGGTCGAGGCTTTACAACAAAACACTCAACTTGCTCTTTGCGTTGATCAAAAAGGCAGAATTTCCAATCACCACTTTTATTCTGATAATTAATTCTCGGAATTAAAACCTCCTCTACAAGCTACCTGTCATACAGTAAAGTGAACAATGGAAAGTGAGCCTTTCCCTCCACTGCATGTCTGCAATCAGAACGAGTGGAGGGACTACTTTGACCCTAAACATCAATGAGGACTCGGTTTCACTCACCTCTCATTTCATCAACTCTCAGAGGTCACAGAAATGGATGTAGGTGACAGGCATGCTAGGCCCATCTTCACTCACCGACCCCTGTCTGCCTCTGGATGTGAGAGCCACAGGAGTTAAATCAGTGGCTTTTAGATGGGCTCACATAAGCGATAAACGC